GGCAAGGTGCTGGGGGAGATATAAAATTTCGATATTACCCTTGAACTCATGAACCTTGGAGTCTAGAATGGGCTCTGTTGGCCAAGTATGTTATAATCATCTATTGTTGGGGTAGAAATAATTTGGTAATTACAAGAATATATGAATATATATGTAAACACATATATTCATACATATCCATATAATCCAAACATGTTATATATAAATGTATATATGTAATGCATAATATAATTATATGTAAGCATATAAATGTAATTTTTGGTATAACTGTTTCTTTGTTGACCACTGTTAAATAATGGTTGAATTCAATCAACTCTTATAAGTAGATAGGAAGAGAATATTTGGTAATACAAGGATGTACGGATATGCATATATATACATATTATACATATATATACACATATATAATCTATGTAAATAAGATTTCCTGGTATAAGTTTATCCCCATGTTCATCCCTGTAAAATAACCATTGAATTCAGTTGACTCTTGGAAGCAGTTGAGAAGAGAATGTGATGGTGGCTTTTTTGGTATTCAAGCTTTGTATTATCAGTGTAACATTGTATAATGGAGGGAGAACTGGGCTGAAAGTTCGAGGATTTGGATTTAAGAGAAGGCTCTGAAACTTTGTGACCCTTTGTTTTCCTTGCAAAATTATTTAACCTCTTGGAATTTCACTTTTCTCAAATGTAAAATGAGGATCATGATATTCACATTTCACACCCACAGGTTTGTTGTGATAAAACTACTTGGTAAATCTTTTAAGAGCTATGTAAATTTGAGTCATTCTGAGAAGAGAAAATGAGCTAAAATAGTAGAGGTGAAAAGCAATAACCAATGCAGCCATGAGTCATTTTTCAAAGTAGCTTAATTCCTCATTCTCATTTGTAAAATGAAGAGGGTTGAATAGATGATCTCCAAGGTCCTTTCCAGCTCTAAATTAGTGGCCATATAGTGATGATTCTGTAATATTTAGAATGAGTGTCCAAAAAACCAATCTGCTTGTTGAAACAATAAATGCCTTTACTTTTTTTATGGTCCTCACGTCATAGGACTGTAGCATGCTAGAGCTGGAAGGGGCCTTAGGTCATCTAGTAAAGACGTCCTTAATCTTTCTTCTATTGTGGACTCCTTTGGCAGTCTGTTAAAGCCTATAGACTCTTTTTTTTTTTAGAATAATGTTTTAAAATGCATAACATAAAATATATAGGATTACAAAGGAAAGCAATTATATAGTTATCAAAATGTTTTAAAAAATAAGTTAATGGACTCAAGGTTAAGAACCCATGATCTAGTTCAACCTTCTTTTTAAGAGAGGAGGAAACTAAGTCTGGGAGAGCTTAACTGATTGCCTAGGTTTATGTAGCTAGGAAGTATCAATCCAGGATTCTAAGACAGGCTATTTATCCCTAAGTGCAGTGGGATCTTCCACCTAGCATCAGTCTCTCTGATAGAGCTCTATTATTATTTTTTCATTTGGCCAGTGCAGGTTTTTGTGCGTTACCTCCAAGTGGGATAGAGAGGTTAGTAAATTCATCTCTTTGGAGTTTGAATCTCCCTCAAATAGAGACTAGAAAAGGACTTTGTCTCTTGCTTCAGGTCCTAGTGAGTTTCGGCTCACAACTTGGCAGAGGACAATTGGTTTTTATGATTTGCTCCTGTGAATTTATAGGAGAACATTCCTCTATTCCCATTCTAGTAGGAGCTGAACCTTCATCTTCCCTGAGTATTTATGGAGATTGTTAGAGTTTCCTTGGCAATTGTAACTCAGATATTTTTATTTTAACAGTAAGAAATGTGCAGGATAAAATAAAGAACATTTCATTTTCATTAAATGAAGCCCTCAAGGAGCTTACTGTTTAGTGGGGGAAGACAATACACAAAAGAAAGCTGAAAGGGGGTGAGGGAGACGAAGGTACCCAGTCCAAAGTAGTTGAACTAGATGGGAAATGAAGAGATGGCTGGCCTGGGGCCTTTCTTAAATAGAGGTTCTCCACCTCTCTTCAGAGGGGTAGAATGTACTGATGAGGTATGCGTAGCCAGGCTGATTTGATGATTCACAATGATGAAGCATGATGTGGGCAAGATGAAGTCCAAAAATGTGCAGTCAGGTGAGAAATGAAGAGATGGCCCACCTGGAGGCCCTCTTTAAATGGAAGTTCTCCACCCTCCATTCATAGGGGTCCAACAGGTAGAGGCAACTGAGGATGTGTGAGTACCAAGCCTTTTTTGATGAAGGGGGAGGGGCACACTGTGAAAATTTTCCTTTATCTCTCAGGAAGCCCTAACTTGATTACCAATTTTTGATTTACCAATTTTTCCAAGACTACAAAGATAGTCTTCAGGTCCAGGTAACATAACATCAGAACTGAAGGGAAACCTGAGAGATTGTTTAAGCCAACTCTGTCATTGTAAGTAAATTAGTGGCAAGACCACGCTGATAACTAGTTCTGAGGTTTATTCCCCACTATCCCAACTGGCCCATACTGTAATAGGTGCTTAATAAATGTTTGTGGATTGATTTCTGATATTTGGTGGCCAGGCCTTCCCTTTCTGTAGCTAATTGGAAACTGGAATAGGAGCTGGGAAACTGAGAAATATGGTGCTACTTCTTCCCCATAAGAGGAAGAATTGATTTAATCCCTTTTTTTTAAAGTTTAGAGGCTAAACTTTAGCTCTTTTAATAAGAAAAGCAGACCTCAGAGAGCAGTAGTGTTGTGGCTTTCTCTCCGTAAAGAGGTTGGATCTGTCAGCTCCCTGAAGCTTAGCTTTTAAGGGTGAAGTGTTTTTTCTTTTCTTTTGTTTTCTTTTCTTTTCCTTCCTTCCTTCCTCCTTCTCTCTTCCTTCCTTCCTTCCTTCCTTCCTTCCTTCCTTCCTTTCTCTCTTTCTTTCTCTCTCTTTCTCTCTCTCTTTCTCTCTCTTTCTCTCTTTCTTTCTCTCTCTCTTTCTTTCTCTCTTTCTTTCTTTCTTTCTTTCTTTCTTTCTTTCTTTCTTTCTTTCT